TGCCCTGCATTTGGGCCAGCTGATTCATGACTTGCGCTCGCCTGGATTTGAGAATGCGAGAAGGGCAATCGAGATCCATACTGCGATGAAGGACTTCTTGTGGGTGAGTCCACGAGCTCTTCCAAACTTGGTCGTAGTTGAGGCACATGTCGAGCCTGATGTCTTTGCTGAGCCTGCAGGGTCAATTTCAGAGCGTGAATGATCCCCACCCCTGACCCCAACTAATAAACAAGAATACTATGTTTTTTCTTCCTCTCTTGTATTGAAACTTCCTACGCCCCTTAGCTTTTGCTTCAAGCTGCTTATATATTACAATCTGCTTTGGTAGGAGTGGACACCGCAAGAGACCCACCTCAGCATTTCCCAAGCTTTTCTGCTTTTGGCCATTCTTTCATCATCATAGTCCAAGTATGCTCCAAAGGTATTGGGGGTTCTGCGGACCCATCCATGGTGCTGAAGCAGCTTGTTGGCCCACTTTGTGGTCACTGAGAGCTTGCAAGGAGGGCACGCAATGCCTTTCTCATCTGCTGCTTGCTTTTGGGCTTCTGCATAGGCCTGAAGGAGCCGCTGAGCTTCTGCTTTGATTGCCTTCGTATCAAGCTTCCCTGCAGTCAGCTTTGAAGAATCTCCTCCAGTTGTGACCTTCTCCACATAAGAAATCACCTGCTGAGTGACCACAGCAGGAATGTTCTTACCCAGTTTGAATCTTTGCATGCTACGGGCCGGCTTGCCCATTGGAATTCTCATCCAGTCAGGCATCTCCTTGGCAGAACGGTCTGCTTCACTGAGCTTGTCCCATGGTATATGGCGCCAGCCCTGCTCATCGCACTGATGAAGCCAACGGCCTAACATGCCGCTTTTGAACCCGCCCTTGGAATTGCGGAAGATCTTGGGGAAGGTGGCCATCACTCTTTTCTCCAATCCATGTTTGTGGCCTTCTTCCACCAGCCGGTCGAGCTCACGAATGGCCAGCATCTTGTCATAAATGGTAACCCTGGTCCTGGTGGCTGCACCTCCGCGCTTCCGCGCTGGAGCATCCCCCTCGCCCTCCTCATCAGAAGGATCACCACCGTGGTTGTGGTCAGATGGCTCATCCTCGTCATATGGCACGCACTGACCATCTGCTGCGGCCAAAAGATTCCCACCATCCTGAGGTTGATCAGGAATAGAACACAATTTGTATAGGTCTCTATCTATAGTTGTATATATATATAGTATGACAATATATATATATGTGTATATTGCACAACAGTTTATCACGTATATAACTTTGCAAGCTGCCTGCTGTAAGCAGCTCCACCAGATCTGCTTACTGCATGACCAAAACATGACTCAGTCTGATCTCCATAGGTTTATATATATATATATAATGCTTTCAAGAATCAGAACATGACTCCTCAGCGAGCACCATAGCCTGGGTGCCAACGGTGTCAGAGCTGTCTGCTTCTGGATTAGGTGAACTTGCCGAGGTAGATGGCCCAGGGTAGGAAGCAGGAGACGAAGAAGGTTCCACTCGCCTGGATTTGGAGGTTGTGGATGAAGCTTGAGAGGATGCCTTTCTCTTCCATTTCGCCCCGTCCAGTGAATGTCCTTGGTTGGTCCTCCTCTTCACAGCTCGGACATCAAGATGGTTCTGGATCTTGTGCGCATCGCTCAACAGTTTAGCAGCGGATGGAATGTCTGTTGGGAAAGCAAGAATCTGTGCTTTTTGCAGCTCAATCCTGGCAAACGGCAAGTCTTCCAAAGATTGGTCAAATTCTTCTTTACTGATCTTCTGTTGGCCAAAGTCCTGCATGCGTTCGCATAGAAACTGAGCAAATGCACCCACCTGCTTGGAAGACTCCTGCAAACGAGAAACAGCTTCCGCATCATGGCATGCCACTGGAAGCCCACGCCTTTCAACTTGCTCAGCCAATCTCTTCAGGGGTCCTTTCTTGGGTGCACTGGTCTTCACTATATCCTGCCGCGCAGCTTCTGCAATTTTGGATGTTGAGGATTGTCCTCCCACACCATCTACAGCGTAATACAAGGATGGCTGCCCTGTCCAATGAACATGGGGCTCCAGCTGAATGACTTGCTCTTGGCTGCAAGCATTTTGCTCACCTGGCCCAGCTTCTAGCCCAATCTCTGTCAGACGGTAGAAGGAAGCCCTTTTGTCTTTTCCAACCACGCCAGTGAAAAAGGAAGAAAAACATGCTTCCTGGTGGGCCTTGGTGAATTGGAACTCTTCCTGGCAAAATCTGGTCTCATCTTCAAGACAAGGCTTGACCAGGCAGCACCCCACCACAATGTCCCCCTTCTGGGTACACAACGTTTGCAATTCATCATCGTCCCACATCGGCTTGTATGGCCCTTCTTCTTTCAAGACATTTGGACACCAGCAGCCTTTCACGTGGATTACACTTTTCTTCTCATCCATGCCACCCAGAAAGTATGACACTGTGATCATGTCTGCCGCTTTGGCGAAAGCAATATTGTTCAAATGAGCCAGCACTCCACCAGAAATGTTGATATCCACATGTTTGTCTTTCCGCTTGAGAAAGTCCAGCTTGTTCTGCAACCGATCATTTCCTGGTTGCAGATGGTTTTTGGAATTCACAACCTCAATGGCGCTGCCCTGGAGAAGGTTGGGCTGGGCCAAATTCAAAAGCCTGCTGGACTCTTTCTTTGGTTTGCTACTGCCCTTTGGAGGCTTTTCCTTGCTCTCCGCCTCTGGCTGCCCACCACTTTTCTTGATCTCTTCGGCAGCTCCTGGAGAACTGCCGCTTTTCTTGCCTTTTGCTTTCAGATCTTTTGTGGCCTCGCCACATTCCTTGATCTCTTTTCCCGCTTTTGGCTTCTTGCTGCTTTTGTTTCCTTCTTTTGCCTTCTGGTCTCCTGGATCCTTTTCCTTACTCTTTGCCTTCTTGCTAGCTTCCTCAGCGGCAGCAATTCCTGCTTCCATGGATGCAATCTTTTCCTCAGAGAAGCCCACTGGCCTGTAAAGTGAACGACCAATGCAAGAGTCCAGCTTGTTGAACTTCTTTGGGAAGAGGAATTGCACCTGCCCGTGCACGAGTTTCATGTATATATAACTAAAATTGGAAGTGTGGACTCTAATTCTGCTTACTGCAACAATCATGCGTAATTATATCATATATAATATATCTGTGTTTTTATACACAAACATTGTATGATTATTTGGGCATTTTCTGAACAAAACAGGCCTCTGAAAGCAAGTGGCCATAGAAAGGAAAAGTGTAGGGAGGTGTCCCGCAAAGATGGGCTGGACGCAGAATGGAAAACTCTTCCGGAGTGCATATGGTGATGGGCTCCAAGACCTTGCATCGAGCACGAATTGTATCTTGCACTGCCAGGTACATCACCTCCCCCCTTTGACTCAATCACAGACTTCCTAAGTTCTAGAGTCTTGCCCTTGGTGCGGATGGCCTCCAGCCACTCTTCTTGGAGAATCAGGATCTTTGCATAGAGCTTTGGTTCTTCAGGGCCCACCTCTTTCGAATTGACCTGCGGCTGGAAGTGGAGAACCTTGCTGAGCTTCTCAGACTTCTCTGCGGACACAGACTTGCTAGAGGAAGATGTGCTGGAACAGCCGTTCGATTCACCCACCAACGATGGAAGCTTGAATTTGGTGAACCATGCTTCCAAAAAGACTGCTTTTTTCTCCTCCTTGTTCTTTGCTTTGGCGAATGCTTGCACTGAAAGCGCCCAATCCTGAAGCTTGCCCTTCATTTGCGGAATGGTGAGCGCTTCATGCTGGAGGCGCTCTTCCTTGGGTCAACTATTGGTATAAATATATATATATAAATACATGAGTAAGTATATTCAGTACATATGACCTCTGAAAACGTTGCTTCCCACATCATGCACAATCTGCTTACTACAGTGCCCTTAGGATAACTACACCTGCTTACCACCACTTGAAAAGTGCACGCTTCACACCAAAATATGAAAAGGAACCCTTTGGAGTTTCAACCAAAGTTTCGTGGACAGCACGATGGGTTAGTATGGCAATGGCCTTGTCGGTTCCCACATCAAAGATAGCCTTGCCAACTTCCAGTTTGTAGGTACCATTCACCAGTGACAACCCATCGGGGCACGATGCTGGCTCAATTGGCGGGATACTTGGCACATCTGACTTCAAGCGCAAGCTGCCCAGGACAGCAATCAAAACGGTTCCTACATTTTGAAGCTGGTTCCCATTTCCAACGCGAGCGTGCCATCCATAATCCGACTGCCAGTCAACAGGTGCCTTAGTGTGTGAAGCAAGAGCCTGCCCCTCACTAACCGCCAAACCGGAAGCCGCTAGACGCTCCCTTGCAGTCAGCCATCTCTTCAGCCCTCCATGCCAAAGATGCTTGCCACCACTCTTCGTAAAACATGGCAGGCACTCGGACTGTGTAGACATCGTAGGATGTTTTTCACGGCTTTGGCTAAGAGAAAAAATAGGAAAGGAACCCTTGCCCTCCTTCTCGAACCTTGGATCAAGCAAGTCATCATATATGCATATAAGTGAACAAGTGAACACAATTTGGGAAGGGACCTATACCATCAAGGACCCCTATATAAATGATAGAAAGGCAGCCGCGCACCTTGACAACGCTGTGTTCTGCTTACTACTCCCCTCCCCCCAATAAATAGACAAAACCAAAACCTAACTGGAGAAAAAACAAGTCACTTCTTCTCATAGGCTGCGAGGTTCTCAATTTCAGTCTCTGACAGCAGTGGCCGCCAGTCATCTAGCGGACAAGTGGATGGGTCTCCTGGATCAGGCCACAGTGTCACTGGATTATACTATTCTATGTGGTGTATACTGTATATATATATATATATATGGTTTCCCCTCCCAATACCCTTGAGAGAGAGAGAGAGGGGAAAAAAAAGACCTGGACCTTCTCTGGGTAGGTTTCAGAAACTCAATAAGTTTGCAGCAGGTGTATGTATTTTTGGTGGAAAGAGCGGGGATATGTGAAGGTGATGCGCAAGAGCCCTTGCCACAGAAATTCTTTGACCACGGCTGCACACAATCTCCATTTCACAACCTTGTGCGATTTGAGCACCTGCCACCCTGCACATGTGCTCTAATTATTGCACATTTGTCTTGGCAGCCTTGGTCTGCTGTACTTTCAGACCAGCGCCCGTCAACTCTTTTGACAACAAGAATCCACACGCTTTGCAGCGCTTGATCTGGACAAAGTGGTTGCTGCCTTTCTTAGATACCCGCATGTGTGGGCATTGAGTCGAGGATCCAGACAGTCCAGACAGTCCAGCATGAGAGGTGTTTGATGTGGAAGAGGCCGGTTCTTCACTTACCACACTCCACTCGGAGATGCTACTATCCTCATCGAACTTGCCAAGCACTTGCAGCATCTTGGTGGAAAAGTCTTCAAGATCTGCCTCCGACATGAACCAAACAAGGATCATGGCCACATGCTTAGCTACAGAGCTGATAAAGCTCTGCAGCCATGTCATGGGTGTGTTTGGCCGAAACTCCATTGGGGAACCCTTTCCACCTTTGAGCCTAAAAACACACCTGCAGTAAGCAGCGTCAACCAATATTCCTACTGGGTTGCTGGACCCTGTTGTCTGACAATTTGTGTCCCTATACGAGGCAGTTGACCCCCAGGAAAAACATTGCATGCCAAAGCCTGGCGCCCATATGGGTCTGAAAAAGAGGGTTCCAAGGTTGTTTGGCATCAATGGCATGAGAACGCCCATAGAGGAAACAGAACCGCACCTGCATCTAATACAGTCCCTGCCCACAAACCCACTATATATATATATACAAATATAGCCTGGTCCGATGTATACACATACTATCGTACTAATCCAGTTAGTAGATTCCTTACGACCACCCCTGCTCTCCCAAGCCGTTGTCCCGGTCCTGCGCAATTCATAGTGCATGAGCGTGCCATTTCTAGCCTCAATGCCTTTTCATCTGTCTCAAAGTAGAATTCCTGGATGGTGCATTTGGGCAAGGTTGCCCTAATGTGGGCTGCAATGTCCCTGTACATGGCTCTGGGATCTCCAACCAGATCTAGCTTGTCACGCCGGTAGAAGCAATCGTACCTGATCTATACAGCAAACAGCGCTTAAGTGTGTGTGTGTGTGTGTGCAGACTCACCCTGCAAGAACATCTATACATCTCTGTTTCTGGGGTTGGATGGGGCTTGGACTATTTGAGGTTGGAAACGCGTACATCTTATAACATAATTGCTCATGCAATTGAAGTGCTTGCGGGGTCGGCCCACATGAAAGCCAACATCAGTGGGTCTTGTGAAGATTTGCAGGTGTCCGTATCCATAGCTTTCTGCACAATCAGTCAGCGCTGAGGTGATGAACCCCTCCACATTCTCATGCAGAACAATCCACACACCACTTCTGAACTGGTACATCATGTAAATGACCAGTAAAGACCCTGTCTTGTCTTCCAGCTTTTTGCCACTTCCCATAGAGCTGTAGCTGGTGCACATGGAACCGCTGCAATCCAACACAGCTTTCCGGACGTGGCACCTCATTATAGTGGGCAGTAAGCAGATTTGGGTATTTGCATACCGGGGGGGGCTGGCCTCATGAGAGCTGAATTATATATATATATATATATCATAACCTTTGGGGCTTGTCCAAAGTACACAGAGGGTTGTTTCCCATTAAAACATATATATATTAATATATATATATTGCAAAAAGGAAGAAGTGCAACTTTCTGGGAAAAGGTCTAAGGCGAGCGCTTCTTGAGATGGCGCGCGCAAAAACACTTTTCAGGAAGCGTTGCATGTTTGCCCAAAGCGACCCACTTCTGGTATCTCTTCTGGCCATTCTGGGAATAGATTTTTTTCATCCCTGCCAGTGCTTCTGCTGATGTGAAATCCTGGACGTCGGTGAACCTGCACGATCCACTGTCTAAGATATCTGAGTGTGATGAGCGGGCCATGATGTTAGACTCGCAGGTCCATAAGGCCTCCTCAGCAGTGTTTTACAAGGGTGTATGTACATACATGTGTCCTTTGAATATATATATATATATGCATGTTCATGGGGTAGTGCAACATTTACTATTCTTGCCCCCCAGGCAGTTCAAAAAAAACTCAAAACCCACCTGGAAAGCACACCAAGCCACTGACAGGTTGGGCAACTTGGAATCCTGTAGCAGCCGGCCTTCACTTATGTAGTTCAGCGCCCTCTCTGCGTAGCAGCACCCGCTGAACATACTTGAGGTCCCCATGGTGTCTGCACCCCAAAGCAAACACTTGGGATCTGTCTTCCCCTTTGCAAACGCTACTCCCTCGATAGCCCAACGCTGCCCCTGGATAAGGGGGTCTGGAGGTTCCGCCATGAGAACAGCGTCACCGAAAACTAAGTTCACGTTGTCCCTTGAACTCGAGCTGCAGTAAGCATATGTTCACTGCACATCCCGTGATTCCAAAGATCACATTCTGCTTACTAGGGTGTGCCCCTACAAGACTCCTATATAGTATTATCCTTAATTTGCCAGAAATCCTGCTTTTGAGTATGTGGTAAGCAGAAATATCCCTGCTAACCACCGGTTTTTGACTATAGTAATATGTTAATGTCATTAACTCCGCAAATAGAAAATAACTAAGACAAGAATGTAAGTAGGGCAATTAATGTGCATGTCAAATTTCATGAGGTTTTGGATTCTTGGGGCCAAGTGCGTTTTGCAATACTTAATTTTGAAGACGCCAGGTGAGGTTCAAAGCGTTGGTGTAGCGCCGGCCTTTCATTTGGAACCTTGCAACATGTTTAGCACAAAAAAAATATATGAGAACAAACAAAAGAAGGTCATCAATTTTGGCATGGTCTCTTTAGAATACGATCATTTGATTAAACTATTTAAAAATAATTCAAGAAAGACTTTGGACCACAAAGTCACATCAGCTGTGCGGCCCAACCATTAAAACCAGTCTGAGATAACGGAAACCCATGTTTGAACACGGGTGAGCAAGAACCCGGTAGACATAGGAGACGACATTGCAAACGATCAGGAACCATGTCAGCAACGTTGGACACAATACAAGCAACACCAATGGAAACCAAGCTGTGAAGACTTTTTTCAACATTTGTGCATACAATTGATTGTTTTATCACGAAAGCCAGCCGATAGGCTAGGCTGAAGTTGGGTTGAGCGAACGAAGTGGGTAAAGGGGGTGTGTTGGGGGGGTGGTCGCACGCGGGCCAATTTCGGAGGGATAACCCAGAGCCTGGTGGGGGAGAGCGAAAAAAAGCAGGTCGCTTGGGATTGAGCATGGATGGTTTTTGGGATGTTGTGATGCAAGTGATGCAATTGACGGCGAATAGTGCCTCAATAGCATCATGAGGGCTCAGGAGGCAATGCAAACCGTCTTCTACCAGGGGTGGACGTTCATGTCGATTCGATGCTAGGAAGGAGGGGACAACGGGATGCGAAAAGTGGTTGGAACTCCACCAGGAAGCTTCCATTGAAATAGTGTTCGACCAGCTGTGAAGAGGAGGTGTGTGTGTGTGTGTGTCTCTTAAGACATTGTGTGATCTGTGAGGCCACAAGAACAGAATGCTGTGGGGAAGGTGGAAGACAGCGGTGGAAACATAGCGGAGGAGGACGCGGTAGGAAAAGAGGGTTTGCAAGAAATCTTGGAGTTGCTTGGGGTGAAGACGCCTTTCAACCATACGCAATAGGGCACCCCATATAGGGTGCGAGTTCATGCAATGATGCGGTCCGTTGAGGGCAGGAGAGAGAACTGAACAGATTGCAGCGGGCAAGCTTTGAGTTGCTTGGGGGTGCCCTTTTTAATGGTGAAGAGGCCTAGTTACCGGATCCAAAAGGGCACCCCATATGGGGTGCGAGTTCATGTGGATGAGACAGGCACAGCGGAGGAGGAATGTTTTCTACCAAAAGTGAGAGTTTATGTCGACGCAAGAGGGCGCCCCATATAGGGTGCGAGTTCATGCAATGATGTGCTCCCCACAGCGGGCTAGCGCCCCTCACTTCCTGAGCGGTGCCTTTGTTCACCTCCAAAACGCCTCTGAAGCAGGCAACGCTCCTATTTACCTTGAGCCAAAAGCAATCCAAGTACCGCATAGTACCGCTGATGTTTATGAGGGTATGTATCCCAAATCACCCCACCTGGACGTTGGGTGATTCGAACTGACGTCCACTTTGGGGCTACTATGCGCACTACCGACAATCAAGTGACAGCTTTAGCTATCGAAGGTTGTCCTGAGAGTGCTTCAAAACCCATCGCCTTCAAATGGCGTTCTACAGCTTCACTGGCCAGCGCTTTCGTACATATGGCAGCGGTATTCAGCTTTGTGTCGATCTTGAACAGTTCCAAAGCTCTTTCTGCTAGCTTCTCTTGAAATCCAAAGCAATCGAGTCTGGATGTGTCTCGATTTCCCAAGTCCAAGACGGTTGCATGTTCCGAGTGCTGCGGATGAGTCGGTGTACACGCGGAACTTCGTGTTGATGCCCCAACTCTTGAGTAGCTCCTGGGTCGCCATACCTAAAGCTGCAGTTTTCACCAACGCGTAGTATTCGCTCTCGCCCCATAACAGGCTCACCGTGGACTGGAGGTTACTCGAGTGGCAAAGTGAGTGTCGCCCATCGTCGTGGTCTTGCGAGTCAAGAGACATCCAGCAAAGTCTGAGTTTAATTTGCATGAACTGAAACAACATCGCTGAGTTTCTGCGGAGTGAACTTCTGCACCATGCTTTCAAGCATCTGGCAAAACGTTTGAGGTCTCCTATGCCAGATAGAATGCCGTAATATTTGCCAGAAAGAATGTCAGCAGAATTCTGCAGATATGCCAGATAGAATGCCAGAATGCATGTCAGAAGATATGCCAGCTATAGATATAGAGTGTCAGAAGATATGCAAGAAAGCATGTCAGAAGAGATGCCAGAAAGAATGTCAGAAGGTATGCCAGATATAATGCCAGAAAGAAGTCAGATCAAAGAATGTCAGAAGATATGCCAAAAATAATATTGCCAGATGTTATGCAAGAAGAAATGTCAGAAGATATGCCAGAAAAAATGCCGAGGTAGTTTTTCAATACATGCCAGAAATTTTATCAGATTGAAATGTCACGGTGGGGGCCACTCGAAGTAAAATATTTTGTTTTTTTGTGCGGGGGCGGGTGCATGTACAGTATGCACATGTGTATGTACATGTATTTATTGCAGTATGTGCGTCAATATGTGTCAGAGTCAGAA